GGTCCTGAATACTTTCTGAATGCATGTATTACAGGAGAAATCTGGACAAGGTCAATTTCACCTCCTTCTGAAAATGTCACATTTCTGGCAGTGTCTGGGTTCAATACTTGAGACATATAACTAGAATAAATGTAGTGCAAGTAGCATGAAAGTCAGAGTTCTGCCTCCTTCAAACTTGTTTCTGATGTTGCATCAGCATGACAGCCAGGCATATAAAATTTTCAGAAGGCGATCTCCTCATTGTCAGTCGTCTTCAAGGAAGTGGGATGAGCCTTTGCAGGTAGGTATCTCTCTATTGGATATAGAAGAACCAGGCAATTGATTAACCCTTGCATTGGGCTTTTTAATTGCCTGGAGGTGGTTTTTTGTTTTGTTATAAAGCTGGCTGGGCTTTGTGATGGTCAGTGCACAGCCAGCTTAAAAAAAAAAATTCCAGGCAGTAATGGTTAAGTTGTAAGCCTAACCAATTGGAAGCCTTGCTTAATTTTAAGGATAAAATCTGATTGTTCGACATGATCACTTTTTTTTTTTTTTGCCTATTTTCATAATTCTGGAAGATGAAACCAGTTTATCAATACAGGCTGTCCAAATTTCTGAATATAGGAAGATCAGGGAAAAGGAATGCTAGAGAATGCATTACTGTATGGTAAAGAAGCTTTCTAGGTAGTAGTATTATAGGTAGCATTATAACATATTGATTGCTTCTTTTGGACAGGAGATACAATTTATGTAAAGTTGCCATTTTCTCGTGTGTTCTGGAATTTAAATTATTTATTAATCTCCTCTTATGTCCTATTTGGCACGTAGCTGCCCTAGATGTGGAGAATTCCATCAAATTTATAGCATAACCTTTTCTCAAATGTCTTGAACGAATGAGCTTTGGTGATATAGTTATTGAATTAATAGATACTTCTGTCCAGAGGACATTGGAACCGCGATCAGTGGATCACAGGTCTGATCGCCATCTAATCTTTAGCTAGAGATAAATCTTCTTTTCAGGATTCTCAGTTTTAACCGGACTAGATCTACTGTTGCAAGAGTCAATGTGACCTTTGCCTTACTGCCACAATAGGCTGATATGTTTCATAATACAGTAAACTCCCCATTATCAAGGTTTCAAGCAACCAGAAAAATAAGGACCTATGTCCTCAATTTTTTAAAAACATTTTTGCCAGTTGCTTGAAAGGCATGTGCACGCACAAAAAAATTTGTTGGCAACTACATTTATTTAGTTGCTAACAATTCTCTGTTTACATCTTGCAGCGGCCTATGGCAAGATTCCTCCGCTGGCAGGTGAATGTAAAACAACGGGCAGTGGGCATGCAATAGCCAGCCTGCTATGGCAATTTGAAAAGCCAAAAGTGGAATTTAACTCAAGCAACCAGAAACTACAGTTATCCAGCATCTACCAATCCCCATGGGTGCTTGATAACTGGGAGTTTACTGTATATAATTGTGCATAAGATATGCATGCATAAACTTCCAATTCATGCTCCAACTACATTCATGAATTTTAGGGCTTTAGTACTAGGATGTCTTTCAAACTTTTTACAATTATACGACCTACCTTTTACAAATGTAACAGCAGCCATACCCATTTAGCAGCTACATAGATAAAAACTTGACATATGATCAACAGGAACCATTGACTTTTCCATCTGTGTCAGAAAACCACTATGTAGTGAGAGAAGGATGCCATAGATGTTCAACTGCTGTAGGATGTGTAGATAAGAGCTTACTGTCCTTGGTTATCTATGATGGCTGCTGGGCCCCTAACACAAATGGCTCCATTATGTAGGGCCGCAACCAATTAATCGATAATGAGAATAGTTAACGATTTTCATTATAAAAGGTGGGGAAAAAAGTTCCTTTTTGTTTCTGGCCTGACCAATTCTGCTGTGGGAGGTGCGTTGCAGTGCTATTCATTTCAATGGCAATCCAAATGCACTTCCTACCCATAGTCTGCCTGCACTGAAACACACGGTACCTCAATGCCGTGTGTTCCGTGTGGTGCGATTTTAAAAAAATTGCGCATGTTGTTTTTGTATTCTGATGTAACCTGTGTAACACTCCATTTGCATATTTTATTTTTAATGATCGTATTTATTTTTAAAATCTGATTAATCGAAAAATCGGCAAGCTAATCGATTATGAAAATCATTAGTTGCAGCCCTACCATGATGTGATTTATTCTGTGGCGAGGTAGACTCCATTAACCTCGGTGGTATTGGTGGTATTCCCAAGTGTGGCTCGGGTTAATTTTCATTACCATAAGCGGTAACCCCGAGCCACACAGGATTACAGCGTAGCGTCTCTTACCTTGTCCACAATACCCCGCTGTGTCCTCAGCCCGATGCCGGCATCCATCTTCTGGATTCAGTCCCTAGCGAGCGTCCGCGTCGCAGGGGGCGGAACCGGCGGGAATTTTAAAAGTAAAAAAAAAAAAAAAAAAAAAAAAGATAGAACAAATAAGGAAAATAAAAATAAGATAATCAGACCGCCAGGGAGGTTAATAGGATTTTCCATTTTTTTATTTTAAAGTCTACTGTAAAATGCAGAACAATTTGGGTGCCGGATAATGCTACAGAAATGATATTGAACAAATGCTGTAGAAATCCTGTTACCTATTTATCAATGTTTTTTTATTTAAAAAGTTGTTTTTTTTTCGTGCCTGTGATGTGGTAAAAAATGGTTTTGAGGTTAGAAGTAAAGATGGCTGCATACAAAATACACACATTGTTACATGCAAAAAAAAAGGCCTGAATCCTGTTTTAAAGATAACCACTGTGCTGAAATGCGGACCTTTTTGAATTGCTTGAGTGTATTCCTCTTTGAATTGGCTTCCCTGTGGTGTCCCTGTAACAGAGTCCCAGGCTTTAAATGGAGCCCCAACCTCTCTAAGTCCACATTAAAATATTGTTATGCAGTTGGGCATATTCTGTTTTTCACCAAGTGTCATTAACAAAATCATGGACAAACTTCATTTAAAGTGACACTAACTCAAGAGTTGATTCTTAAAAATGCATTCAGGTACCTTAACTCAGAGTTTGAAAACTTCGCTTTGAAATTAGGACCCAGCTGCAAAAGTGAGGAGCCAGGTTTTCCTTGTTTAAAAGTAATTTTCAATTACAGTTTTATTGATGCATGCGGCGATACCTGACATGTAGTGCAATCGTTGGTTTCCATGGGGATAGGGTTCCATTAGACCCCTAGTGTCACCTTTCCACTTCAATAGTTTTAGCTGGCAGTGGCTGGGAGCAATAGCCAGCCTGCAATTGGCTATTTGAAATTGCAATGGCCAATTGCAGGCTGACTATTGCACCCACCCACTGTTTTCTGTCAATCAGCAGAAGAGGGGCCGGAAGGGGAAGGCACAGACACAGCAACAGTCTCTCCTCTCCGCTGGGTGATGGCACCAGCGGTCTGTGTCCCCTCCCATCCTCGCTGCCTCTGCTGATACAAGGGAGAGGAGATGGGGGCTAATGTGGAGGCGGCTGACAAAAGCGCCATGACAAAATTTCTCGTCAACATGGCACCTGGGATTTGTCAAGCCCTGCCTTAACTAGTAACCAAAAAGTAGCTTATTTGTCTTTCACTCTATGGTCCCTGAGTGTTGTAAAGTAGCCACCGGTCCAAGCTTGCTCTTGTGAGGGGCTTCAATCTTTGTTTAGTTTACCAATATGTATCGAGATTGTAGTCCATGACGGGAGTGAGCTTGGAGCGGTGGCTACTTTACAACACTCTCACAGGGACCATGTGGAACAAAAGTAGCCACCCTACAGTTGGCGCACTAATTCAGAGATGTTTGAGGATCTACAGCTAAATGATACACAAATAAGATACATTTATGTTAATTTAGTACTTGAATGCATTTTTAAGGTTAACGCCTGAGTTTAGTGTCACTTTACCTGTTTCCACGATAAGTAATGCTTCTGGAAAATGTATGAATTCTTACTTTAACCATTAAATGTAAATCTTTTTTCTTCTTCTTTTTTTTTTTTTTTTTTGGGGGGATGTAAATTTTTTTTTTTTTTTTTTTTTTTTTTTTTTTTTGGGGGGAATTAACTTTTTAGGTTGGATTTTTAATGGCTTAAGCCACAATTATAATAGAGTACGCATGTACCTGCAAAATACCCAATTATTGCGGTATTACCAATTGCTGGATTTTTTAATGGCTTAAGTCACAATTATATTAGAGAAGAATACACAAGTACCTGCAAAATACCCAATAGACTTGAACTAAACTTTTCATTATGGGGAATTAACTTTTTAGGTTGGATTTTTAATGGCTTAAGCCACAATTATAATAGAGTACGCATGTACCTGCAAAATACCCAATTATTGCGGTATTACCAATTGCTGGATTTTTTAATGGCTTAAGTCACAATTATATTAGAGAAGAATACACAAGTACCTGCAAAATACCCAATAGACTTGAACTAAACTTTTCATTATGGAATTGTGGTCCTGTGGGAGATGAAGCTGTCTGTTTTCTTTTGTTTTGCAGCTATTGATGGTAATGGTAATTTATTAGATTGTAGGTTGGTGAGATTTTTGTTTGAATAAACATCACTAATGGATCAGGAGCTATGCCAGCTATCTTTTTGTTATTGCTCATTTGCTGCTGAAGGTGACGAAAGAACTGGGGCTTTTCTTGTCTAATGAAGGACTCTTGCAGTGTAGTATGGGAAAACTGAACTTCAGTGTCAAACTGAAATATCCAGCAGACTCGTCAACCTTAATTCTGATATGCCTCAATGCTAAAATTGCAAAGTTTAATTTAAATAAGTAAAAACCTTCTTTCTTCTCCCCTCTACTTGGTTTGTTCCATTTATTTCCATATTTATAGTTTTCATTTATCTTGCTAGTTATTTGTATTTTTAAAAATGGTATTGTAAAGGATTATGGCAATTTGATTTGCACTTCATCTTTATGCTGCTAAAGGGTTACATTCTGTACTATTTACTGAATATTCTATTTCTTGTAATCTGTAATTACAGGTGGTGATAAGCGAGGATTTTCAAGGGTCAGAAACCAGTCTGAAAGTGCCAGTTCACCCCCAAGCGTCGATAGGAAGAGGCAGCTTTCAGAGTCCCTTGGTGAAAACCTATACAACGCGCAGTTAGAAAATCCGCCTGTACAGACTGGGACAACAAGAGGTATTTAAATAGACAAGTGCTCATCATTGCACTTGGAATAGTTGAGAGATTAACACTGGTAATTGATACATGTTGTTGAGTTATGGAAATATGTTAATGGCATAGGCACTTCTTCATGGTACCGCTGCACTCAAATTAATGTTTGCATACTGAATGACAGCCATTTGTGCTCTATTTTAATTCTATAGGCTTAATAGGTGCACTCTAGTGAAAATGTTTGTTTTGCATGCTAGATAGGTGGTAACTGTTTGGGAATAAAAATATGTTAACCATCCATAGCCATTACAAGATGAGCTGAGGCATGGGTGTGAGAGCCAACTTTGATCGCATGCATTACTGTAGTGTATTTAGATGTTAATGCACTCTATGCAGCATTTCCTAAACTTCTGCTTATAGAGCATCCTTTTTCATGGCATGCAGTTATTTATGAAGTTTAAAATCTATACTTAATAGCGTCGACCGATTATCAGATCTACTGATCGAGACCAATTACAGATTTTCGAATTATCGGTCAAAGTGACTGATATTAACAATGATAAACACTGTGCAAATTTCCGCTGGTTCTTGAGGAACCAGCGGAAATTAGCAGTCGGTGCTGATCTCTGACTGGCATCCCTTACTGGCATCCCTCTATCTCTTTTTTTTAATTAATTTTTTTATTTTAGTTTGACAGCTTCCGCCATCAGAGTAAAAAACCCAGATAGCATTGGCATGAATAGCTACGCTGCTATTGGCTATTTCAATCTGCAATAGCATGCTTGCTATTGTACCCGATGCTGTCAATCAGCAGAGGTGGACCTGAAGTACACCTTCAGGTCCACCTCATCCAGCCTTCTATTGTAATGTGAAATGGCCAATAGCAGCCTAGTTATTCATTTTCCATGCTATCTGATTTTTTTTTTTCCCTTGACGGGGGCTGCTGTCAAAATAATAAAAAACAACCCAGATAGGGGAATCCGCAGATAGCAGGAGAGCTAATGCTTCCCATACTATGTGCTGTTTTTTTTGTTTCTTTGTATTCTTTCAATGGCCGCTGTCAGTATACAAAAAAAACAGGAAATTGTCCAGTTTTTAAGGAGAGTGCCTGCTGTTTACATTCAGCTGGATGTAAACAGAATGTCGGTACCTGATATTGGGTTATCGGCCTGAAAGGTGGCCAATAATTTGTGTTTGTACCGATGACTATCGGCTCTATTTTTATTTTTTTTACTTTTATCACTCCTTTTTCCTTTTATTTGTTGCATCTCAGTGGTGGTGATCATTGTAGCCACTTTTTTCTACATGCATGAACGCCAGCAATAACTGCATGGCAGTTCTCATGGCGGGTTCCCTGATGGTCAGAACACTGGACCACACCTAGGTCATGTTTGTTAACCTCTTGCCGTCCGCCCGTAGTAAAAAAACGGACGGACGGCACTGCTACATCTGCGGGTTGCCGTCTCCAGACGGCAATTTTTTTCTGTACAGAAAAGACCCGACCATTGCACACACCCGTTACCGGGTGTTTCACATATAGGCGATCAGCGGGTCCATAGCCCGCCGATCACGGATTAAATGTCAGTTAAAGTACCGCAGAGCTGAATACTGAAAAATGGCCTGGATGGGAAGGGGGTTTAACACCGCGGATGTCAACTGGTTAAAGTAGAGCCCTGCAGTCTCCAATTGAAGTCTGTATGATGCTGACAATGGAGGAGCGCAAGTGTGAGACGGGGACAGAGCTCTGTCGTTCTGTAACATTTGCAGGGTTACTCACTAATGGGTGAAGAGTTTGGAGAAGGCAGGAGAAATGAATAATCTAGGATAACATAACTGAACTGTGGAAAGTGAGCTGAATTGAAAAATGTTTCCAAATCCGCTATTGTCCTAGATTGTTCACCTCTCTTGCCTTCTCCAAACTCTTCACCCTTTTGTAAATAACCCTGTTGGTGTCTGAATATGGGATCACCAGGTATTTTGTTGAAAGTTGCAGATTAAAATAAATACTTTTGAAAATACTTATCATATTAACCAGCTGAAGAATGTACCGCTATATTCTCTTGTGCCCCCCCCATTCATCAGCCAGCAGCTTCTCTTCACTTCAGCACGAATCTGCAGAAATCCGTAGCATGGGTAGTAGAAGGGAGTAGTAAATGTCTTATTGGCAGGTGACCCTAGGGGTTGAATAAACCGCATAATGTCACTTTAAAGAGAACCTGTCATCTCCAATGTGCTTGCCCCCCCATGAGATGTCAATGAGGGTAAGAAAAAAAAAAGTGAAAATGAAAATACCAAAATTTTGTTTTTAAGTGCCCCGTGAATGGGCGCATACTAACGGAAACACCTACGTCGGGTACACCTACATATGAAAATGATGCTTGTGCTAGACATGTGTGCCAATTAAAACTGTAATTCAAAATGACAAGTCTTTGAAAATAAATCTTTAAAACAAATTTTGTTTCAAAAAACAAAACAAAGAAACCTGCCTCCTAACTTAGCTAGCGGCTAGATTCAAAGCAAATTTGTCAAGCCCTGCCATAGACCCCACACAGCCTCCTGAGATCCTCCGCTGGAGACAGGAGGCCAGCAGCACGAAGTATGTAGCTACATATTATTCTGCATTGATGTATAATGCTTTGCTGGGATTTGTAGTCCTCTATAGCCAGTTGCCATTTGGTATTGCTGTATAATGTATCACTGGGATTTGTAGTCCCTCTGCAGCTTAGAGTCGGTGACAGAACTACCAGGGTTGCTGCGTTTACAGCTGGGACCAGGCACTGGCACTTCACCACTGTCCTAAAATCATTAGACTGCATTGTTTTAGAAAAAGGTCACAAAAAAAAAAGAAAGCATCGGTAAATGGAATCGGCAAGTACTTGTACTCGGTCTGGAAAAATTGTTATGGGTGCATCCCTATATCTTGTGTGATGTTGGGCACTTGGTAGGGGATGTTGTGTCAAACTTGTAAGTGAAATTTGTAAGTTTAAACTCTCTTGATTTCCTTTACACGGTGCTAACTCTGTTGCATCTGGGAAGTCTGATGTGGAATAACAGGTTACTGCTTTTAAAGCCTGCATGATTTTCAAAGTTCCTTCCTGAACAGATGGGGATTAGAAAGGGCATGTTCTTTGATCTAGTATGCAGTGGTTGTAGAAGTTGTTTAAAAGGCGTGGTGTTTTTAAAAGGAACTTGTCATTCTAGAAATCTGGGAGCGATACTGATTTTTTAATATATATAATATAAAATATTATAGGCTATATATATAAGTGTGTGTGTGTGTTTCCATACATAAGTATGCAGTGTGGCAGTTTTGTCTTGGCTGGCTGCATGCTTGTTCAAATCCAGGAAGTCATAAGTTGTAAATCCACAGCATGACATCCCAGAAACTTGGATTTTAAAGCGGCAGCCCCCATATGTTTATGGTAACTCATTTCCCTCAGTGACCTGCTTTTTAGTGTTGATTAGTTTTTATTAACTTATGTAAAAGAAGATTTAGACAATTCACATCATAACTCAAGTAACATAAGTCACAATATTAGGAGACAATATGAGGGAGGAAAACTCTGTGGCACGGCGTTGACATCCGTCTGGTGCCCGACTCTCCGCAGTTGTTTATCTCGCGTAAAGTAAAAAAACAGTCACACAAAACATGTACGAGAGCTGAGAACATCACTCTGAACAAACACTTCCAGGAACTCACTACAGGTCTGTCCTGAGCCTGCGAGGTCTGGAGTTATCCACGTTATTATCATACATTACAGTCTTCTCGTGAACCGTCTGATCTTGTATCTATATTGGAGAAGCATTAAACAGAGGGAAAGCGGGGAGTGAGGAATAGAAGGAGAATAGTATACAGGAGGTAAGACTGGGGTTGGGGGGGTCCATCAATCTATAGTTACTGTTATGTTTCGGAGGTATATGTCTCCATCTCCTATCAGGAGATTGAGATTAGAGGAGGGACTGGAGGTCAGCCCAGGCGGAGAAATGTATCCACACACTCCCTTGCGACATGACTGACCTGCTTTTAACCTCTTGCCGTCCGCCCGTAGTAGAAAAACGGACGGACGGCACTGCTGCATGTGCGGGTTATTACACTGCCCAGTTTTTTTTCTGACTGTTAAAAATATAGGATTCCTCATTTCCACTGAATGTCTGTGGTCCATCTTGCTTGGAGAATGGCTAGTGGCTTTGCCACAGTGGTACAATAATCATCACTATTTTTAAACTGTACGTTTTTAATGAACATCCTATGAAGGTCAATGGCACATACAAGCATTTTGCTAGGGTGTCTATTGCCTATAGCCTTGTTTTCTTAATCGTACAGGACACAGGCTTCAAGTCTTGGACCCTTAGTTATGTTACCTTCAGGTGGCTGGACATTGGCAACAGGAAAGGCCTGCAGGGACAGCTAACCCCTCCCTCTCCCAGCAAGCTTCAATTTTTGGCAGCGTCCTTAAGTGAGGACTGTGCTCTGTCTGACAGAGGCTTACCTCATTCTTTACATGCACTTATTATTTTTTTATGATTCTTCTAGAAACTTTCTGGTTTATTTGCTGCTTGATAGCCACTGTGGATACCCCTTTTTAGCAGCTTTCTTAATTGGTGTACTCCTCCGCCTGGATGAAGATGTGGCAACAGCATTGCTCTGTACGCTGGATCCTGCTGGATCCTGCATGGACACTCGCCTGGTGGACCCCAGGGATTGCAAGCATTCCCAACCTATCCTCCAGAATTGGAATCAAAATTTCCGCTCACAGCCACTCCATTATCACAAAGAGTGGGATGAAGATGTTGCCTCGGATTCCGAAATATTTGATCTAGGGTTGCAACTCATGATGATTTTCATGACCAAATAGTTGGCCGATTGTTTTTTTTTTTTTGATCGGATAAAAAAAATATATCCTTTAATTTAAAATAAAATACACATGCAGTGATTATAAACCTAAAATTTTCTTCAGAATAAAACTGCATGCACAATTTTTTTGCAATCCGCGTTCCAGTGCGGGCGATCACACTAGGTGCGAGGTGCCTTTGGACTGCCATTGAAATGAATGGCACTGCAACGCACCTCATGCAACAGAATTTGTGAAGCCGAAACCAAATTACTTTTTTCCCACCCTTTAAAAAAAAAATGTTTAAATGGTATTGTAAGCACATGGCGCTTGAATAACTTAAGCCAGGGAATGACTGGAAAGATTCCGCAGATGACAGCTGAATGTAAATATAGCGGGTAGTGGGCTGGTGCAATTGCCAGCCTGATATTGGCCATTCCAAATTGCAATAGTCAATAGGAGCCTGGTTATTGCTCCTCCCAGCGTTGAGAGAGCTAGGGGATCCAACTAATAATCAATGAGAATAGTTTTCACATCGATTCTCCACTTTCTCAAGTTTTCTCATTATCAAATAATTATCGATTAGTTGGTTGCAGGCCTAATCTGATTTCTCTATTAACCTCTCCCCAAAGCCTAAGGATACTATTGGTACCCATATTGATGTAACATAGTATGTAAGGTTAAATAAAGACTAAGGTGTGTGTGTTTTCTATCTATCTGGCTCTAACCCTTCCCAATACTATGTAACTATATCCCTGTTTCTGCATTTCAAACTTTCACTACTCTCACAGTGAAAAACCCCTTACGAATTTTAAGATTGAACCCCCCTCTCTTCTAACCTTGTGTCCCTGGGTTCTCAATACAGTTTTGCCATTAAACAGTTTGTTCCTAATATTTTGGTCCCCATTGATGATTTTGAAGACTGCAATAAGTTTTGTGGTGTGCTCATAACTGGTGTTTTGAGTAGCCTGCATCCACCCGCTCAAAGGTCTCTAGCTTGGATTCCCTGAATTTGCCTAGAGCTGTTATGGCTTTTCTGGATTACTGGGTTTGAAACTGGTGGTGTATGAGAGCTGGTCTCCCCCAAAAAGCTGTTTGCGCCTTCTTAGAGGTTTGTTCAACAATACCTTTATAGAGAAGGCCATTTCTTGTCCAAACAAGACCTCGACGATCCCTGTGGAGGATTTTCCTGTTTTCAAGGATCCGGTAGACAAGAAGTTGGGAAGTCCCTCTTTAAGCCCTTATTCTCCCTAGTGTATCTGGCCATGCAACTTTTGGTTGCATATATTGCGGTCTGAACTAAACATATGATCCTGACAGATCTTTCTCTTCTATAGCACCTGCAATTCCTACATGTGACCCTTCCCCCAGTTGGGTGGCCTCTTTTTCTGTTCATATGTAAATTATTCTCTGGCTTAAAAGCTGGTCTACATGGATTCCCTGTACAAAGTGGCTTGAGTGGATTCCTTTTGAAGAGGGATGCCTCTTGTACTCCGCTGGATACTTCTCAAGGAAATCACAGGGTGTAAGAGTACTCTTCTCCAGAAGAAAAGTCTGGTGTTTTGTTACTAAAAGTTCCTTTCGCCCCTATCGGGTCCCAAGGATACAAACTGGAGGTTTAGACTCCCTACTTCATGGTTTCCAGCTTGTTTTCATTCTAGTAAATGCCAGACCTTAATGCTGTTCTTGATTTAGCTGATATCTCAGGGGGTTATTACCCCTTTTCTGGGGGGAAGAGGTGCTGCAAAGACAAGGCTACTGGGTTGGGTTCTTTTGCTTTTTTTTTTTTTTTTACCGTTTTCATAAATGTATCTTAAAGGAGAACTATGAGGTGAGTGAAAATCACTCATCCTCCTAGTTCGAGCAGACATGTGACAAGAAACTGTCACACGTCGGCTCAATAGATCGGGAAGTGAGCAAACACATACCGTCATTCGCTTACTTCTCGATCATGTCCCTGCAGAGAGCCGTGACTGTCACTCACGGCTCCCTGCAAGGATTCCACCCCTCTGCTCATATCCTCCAGCGCTGACTGGAGGAACAAATGGGGGTGGGGGCGGGTACAGCTGGCTCTGCCTCTAGATAGGCAGAGCCAGCTGTCAATCACGCAGCTGGGTGGCTTTCGACAGTAATGACGGGATCCGTCACGGCTGCGGCATTCTCAGTATACCGCGAGCTGTAGCTCGCGATATACTGAGCTTTGGGTCACGGGAGGACGCTAGTTTGTCCTCCGTTGACCCTTGGGAAAACTATGGGAAAAAACACACACCCCATAGTTATAGTTCTCGTTTTAATGACTTGTTACACATTAGAGTTCATGGAAGCAACTGTCATTTCACATGCTTTATAGGAAAATGCTAATATATTAAATTGTTGAAATAGACTAAGCATCCTTTTCAATTATTTGATTTGCTGACAATTATTTTTCCATTTTAACTTTTATGTGTTATGTAGGAAATATGGGTACAAACCGAACACCTAGCGCCACTGACAAAAAACGCAACAAAGGACGGAAGAAAAGTATCTTTGAAGTATACATGGACAAGGATGAGGTATCTGCAGGTTTGAAGCGAGGTGAACTGATTCAGGTATGAAAGCAGGATTCAGTGTTAGTACAACTGTTAATGTGTATAGTACTATTTACCCCATAATTGTATGTATAGCCAAAACTTTTTCTTCACTGCTCATTAAGGGACACAGGATATGATTGGGTTATAGTGCTGCCTACAGGAGCATTTGGACACTGGTAAAGCCGTTGGACAGCTGACCCCTCCCACCCGTTCACAACTAACTAGGCGTCATTGCAAGTGAACGTGCATTCGTGCGTGATTGCATGCATTTTTGCCGCAGTGGTCACACATCAACCCATTAATCAATGGGGAAAAGTAGCCCATGCAGCATTTTCAGCTCTGAACATTCTGCGTTTCTTCCAGTGCAATATGTTGAATCCCAAGGAAAGCAGTCCTACTGAATCTGGTCTATCCAGCTCATGATCCTCTAACAGTTTCGAGGCAGCGTCCATTGTCCCTACAAAGGGACTGGACACCGATAGCCTGGATAGTTTGTCACCTGCTTGAGGCAACACACTCCTAGGGGTCTCCCATAGATCGGTCAGGTGTGGCCCCCTACTCTGACTTTTCTAGGAAAGAGTTCTCAGCAGCTATGCTACATTTTATTCGCCACCCTGCAACTGTGATTGCTTACTTAGAACAGAGGATGTAAACATACCTCCACTTCTTCCTCCATATTTTTTCCCCCCACACATTCCTACAGCTGTAGCTGCTTTTGAGCCTTTTGCATAAGTACTATCTGATGAGTCTAATGCTTGATGGATGCATTTTTTTCCTGAGGAAACTCAATCGGCTGATTTGGCTCTCACGGCTTGCATACTATATTGGCTCTTATTTATGCTGTGCGAGCCACATTTTAAAATGGTGAACCGTATGTTGCTTCTATTAGTGCTGGTACCAGTCTGGGATCATTAAAAGGCCCCAAGACTAATCAACATTTTTCCAGCACACTCCTTACTTCAACCTGTTTTGTACAGAGACTGAAATACTCCTGATGAACTATTTACTACTCGCAAATGCTTTTCAGACCAACATCCTTTTGAGGATTTTCTTATGAATTAGGCTGCTCCTGCTGTGGATCCAGCGATATCCTGCCTTAATAAACAGATGGTACCTATTGAGGATGCTCCAGTATTTAAGCATTCTACTGATTAAACATTTGGAAGCCCTTTCTAATTGCCTGTTTTTCCTAGCAGGCCCTGCTAATCAACCTGCCATATTCAGTCTGTTAAAACTTGGGCGAATGGACTCAACTCGTGTAAAAGAATCCAGCTACAGTCCTTACTGACACTTTAGTTGTAGAGTGCTTAAGTTTTTTCCTGCAGCCCTACATTGTGTGGATGGCTCAGTTGAGAATGTCAGTCTTCTCTCCCAATTGCTTTTGATGGTCAATGTCTCTTTGCCACACACCTATAAAGACGTCACTGGTGGTAAGAGTCCTCAATTGCCAAAGCAGAAGAAGCCTAACCCTTTGCCTGGCAACTGTTCTCCCATATATGGAGATGGAACATGAACTGAGATGGAAGTGCACATGTATAGTTTCAAATGGCAACCAAAGATTAAGTTCTGGCTTACTAGGACTACAATAACATGAAAATCTCTAATAATTTTCAAGCTATGGGCATAAAAATATCTGTTCCATGTAAGTAACTCCATAGAAGTAAAGGTGCACCAAAATGAAACATTTTAAACCAATAAAAAGTCAGGCCGAAATGGAAAAACTTATTTTTCCATTTTTTTAAAAATCTTTTACAACATTTTTTATAAAAATGTTAAAATTTTTTTTTTTTATTATATCTGATACAGATGAGAACTTGCCATACAATAACAGATTGATATAGTTAAAGGGTTTCTAAACCCTCAGCTTTTTTTGCATATATCTAATGCTAGCAAGCAGTAGATATATGCAAAAAGTAAAAAACAAAACAAAAAAAAACTGCTTTTAACAGTGGTTTAAACTTTAACTGTCTTTCCCGTCCGAAAATGTGAAAATTCTCGGGCGACGGCAAAGGATCTTGGGGCGCGCGTATGCACAGTTCACATTTTTGGCCATGACGCGAGGAGGGACGCAAGGTAATTCTATGGATGCGTGCACCCGCAAACAGACACCTTGGGACAGGAAGTGCCAGCAAGCCCAGAGGAGTTGGCGCTGGATCGGATACCCGCCGCTGCGCTGGAGGGAAGGCTGGAAACATCAGGAAAGATCGGATTAAGAGACATCCTTTAGGGTACCTTATATACTCGCGTATAAGCCGACCCGAATATAAGCCAAGGTACCTAATTTTACACAGCAGTGACGCTCGGCGAGGTAAGTAAGCAGAAACCTGACCAGCGTACTAGCTTTCCACAGTGCTCGAGACGCTGACTCGAGTATAACCCGAGGGGGGCATTTTTCAGCACAAAAAATGGGCTGAAAAACTCGGCTTATACTCGAGTATATACGGTAAGTGCTTTCATTAACGTTGGAGTGAGGGGAAAAAAAAGTTGCCTTTTAATGTCACTTTAAGCACCATTTCCAGCTGCTATAGTAATTCTGCAGCATTAGGTTGCACTGCTGGATAGGGAGGGAGTTTCCACGAATGAGACTCTGTTCCCCCAGATACAGAGCTAACTGTTCAGGTGCATGGCTGTCCAGAGCACCATACCCCCATTCCAGCAACTCCAGCAAGCTTCAATAACCTTCCCATCCAAGGATACATGGTACAGACATGGCTGTCTGAGTGACAACTTTGCTTCCTTCTCCCAACACCCAGTTTTTGCCGGTATCAAGTACGGGTAGCTGATAAACCCAAATATGTTTCACCCAACTCCATGTGGACTTAATCAAGACATGGCTTGTATGAGCCTGACCTTTTTAAAGTCAGTCTTCCATCTCTCTCAGGGACCTGTTTAAATG